AAGAGGAGGTGGAATACCGAGATAAATGTTGAATAGGAGAAAAATTCCAGCAGCTTACATTTTTTCCAATAAAAAATCGGCAAGATTTATGTAAGAATGGGTGATGTCTTGGCAAAATTGTTTTTTTTTTTGAAAAGTAATGGTTTCCGCGTTTTCTTCATTCTGGAGCAAAGTTTGTTAATCAAATTTACTCAAATAGTTTGTCCATCGTAATGACATAGATTTCTTCAGAGCTGTCTGATAAAGACTTTCAGAATCAGCCAGTAAATTGGGATGGCGAAGAGATAACTCCGTTGCCATACAATATGTTAACACAGCAAAGCCTGGGCGATAAGTCAATTGCGGATGTTGTGGAAGCACTAATTGGTGTACATTTGTTGGAGTTGGGACCAGCCGCAACACTGAAGTTTATGAAGTGGCTTGGCCTAAAAGTGCTCACAGAACCCGTTCAAATACAACCACCGCTTTTGCGAATTATTGATACGAACGATAAGGTTAGCTTATTCCTCTGATAGATTGGACAGTGTGCATGAAATACTACTCGCTTATTCAGACATTTCTGGTCTGACTATCTTCTTCCTTTATTATCGTTATTCATTATAAATTTTATATAATGCTATTGTTGAGGCATCATCTGCTACCTTTCGAATTCAAGAATATATTCTACATTATCAGTATATTCTACAATGTGAAAGTATATTCTAGAATAAAGAATATATTCTGCAATCTATTCCAAGAATATGCATGTATTCTACATCATCAAAATTTATGTTCGAAGTCTATGACAGCATCGAGTTTAAAGGATTTTTTCTTGAGCTAGAAGATTTTCATCTCACATCTTATTTTTATGTACAACAGCTTGATTCGCAGCATTGAGCATTAGCCGTTGAGTGCTTTTCGTAGTCGACGAATAGGGAGCGAAGAAAGGAATCTTAGAAAGGGATGCTGATTTATTGCGGGTCCCGGCAATTGATTTATGGCGATTTTTTCACATGTGCTAACTTCTTTCAGTACTCTACTTGCTGCCTCAGGCTGTTGTTAAGCGAGGAGTCCTGACAATTGATTACTTTTAAGCTCTGGGAATCGTTTGTAAATACGAGAGAGCATGCAGATCGAGCAATAATTTTGCAGTTCTTTGCTACTTTTCTTGTACAGCACAACAGTTTGGGCTCTCTCAGATTTCTGGATGTCCTTCTCCTAAGCAAGT